TTCTTTTTCATCCAATTTACTTTTCTATTCAACTTCTTTTTTTATTTAATTTCCAAATAGATCGTTAAGGTATAATGGTTTTTTGAATGAACTTCCATTTTTATTCATTTTTTTTTTCTATTCAACATCTTTTTTTATATAATTTCCAAATAGATCATTGATGTGACAACCGGTTCCTTTCCTCCTTTTCTTTCTCCTTTTCGCTTCGTTTCCTTTCATCCACGTTGGATTTGAAATGTCCAGGAATGATATTCTGATTCTTATTTTCATTTTTTGTTAAATTTTGGATGTTCCAGAGGGTGCGCGGGTGATTCCGTGTTGCCGGGAGCGAAGTTTGAAGTTTGAGCTGCTTGGCCAGGATCGCACGTACGGGACCCAAGGCCGCACGTGCGGAGAGGGGCCGCTCGAGCAGTGGGTGGGGCCACACGAGCGGTCAAGCTTGGCACCCAAAAATTTCGATTCTGTCTAGAGTGCACGAGCGGATTAAATGGGCCGCACGAGCGGTCATGGTGGGGCGCTCGAGCGGTGGAGAAGGCCGCACAAGTGGCCAACTGGGCAGTCCGTGCCCTGTTTTCTTATAACATTTTGATCTGAATGTCTCACCCATTATATACATATCTCTCTCACTCTAAACCCTATATTTCTCTCCCTTCTCTCTAGAAAACTTCCTCAAGCATCAAAACACTTTGATTTTACAAATTTTTGGGTCAAAATCTCCATCTCCTTCCTTCAAATCTTGAAGATCCAAAGTTAGGGCTTCACTTGGGTAGTGGAGATCCGAAATTTCTCTCATCTTTGAGGCTAGGGTTTCATCTCTCCTTTCATCAACAAGCTTGAGGTAGGGATTTCTTGAGTTATATATACTAGTTTTGCTATTTGTTGTTGATTTAAAAGTGTTCTTGAGTTTGTGTTGATTTTATTGATTTTGATTCAAGATGTAGGGAGAGTTTTGAATGTGGGTTTATATCTCAACCTTTTTCTATTATCTTGAGGGTTTTATTTTATTAAACTCTTGAAAAATGGTGTGATGGAGTTCCTCTTAGAAAATGATGATAGTTTGTCAATGATGAAAACCCTAGAAATTGGGGATTTTTGGTAAATTGGAAAATGTCTTTAAAATTACTTATTTTCTTGTGTTAAAAGGATAAATGAGAGGTGTTTCATCAATGTTTAACAAGATGGCACTTTTCTTAATGTATGAGAAGGAAGTGCTATTTAAATATTATTGCTAATACTTGAATAAGCAAGCTTGTGTGTGATAAATTGTTGGATATCATAAATGGTGGAAAAATTGTAAACATCGGGGATTTATATTTGAAATATGTCACTTGTAGCCATGGAGAGACTAATTTGTTAGGACATGTGAAAAGAGAATTGTGGTAACATGTTGATGACACATGTTAATTTTGTGGATGAACATTGAAAGGAGAATACGAGAATGTAAATGTTGGCATTGTTGTAGAGATATTCAAAATGGAGAAGTGTTATGAGGTATGGAAAAGATTATTGCATTGCATATTACTTCATTTATCATTGTGCATTGTGAATCTAAATTGAAGAGATTTACATCATGACGAAAAATGTTATTGTGATGAGAACTAATGGAAATGTGTATGGGGTAAATACGTTGGTAAGTCCAGATAGGGGGTGTAGTTGAATTTGATAAGTTGGCCTGAGTGTCCAGGGTGAAAGACCCGAAAACCGCGCGGATAGGAGTCGAGCCTTCCGGTTAATACCAGTAAAAATGACAGTTTGGTAGTACTCGTAGAGTCTACTTGCAGACACCAGCCTAGGGATTACCAGTGTCGCATTTACCGCCCCTGTTGATTTAACTATTGAAAGTTTTGAAATTGATGAGATTGCATAACATTATTGAGAACATGGTGACTTTGAAATAGTGCATTGAAATAAAATTTTCCTTCAATATTGGCACTTGCATGGCATTACATATGCATTTTTTTTAACGTTGATGGTATTGGCATAACTGTATATACTTTGTGTCGAATCTCTACTGGGCTTTATGCTCACCCCTATGAGAATTGGTATAGGTAAAGATGTGGTGACCCCGCCAAGCTAAGGGCGTGGAGATGTTTGAAGAAGAGTAGTTTGACTCTTATTTTGTTGTGATATTTGTTGTAAGCCAAGGGCTAATGTGTTTGGGTCCGAGAGACCATTATGTGTAACCGGGCTATTGCCTTGGAACTTGTAAGCCCTTGAGGGCCTTATTTGTTGTAATTTAATGATTTTCTTTTACATGCTATCGGTTCATCTACTAGTTTGTAAATAAATGTATATTGTCATGTGTGAATACTTTAGTAAGCATTTGGGATCATGTAAACGATTTTGGTTAATATCTCATTTTAGAAGTGGGTTGATCCAATAGTTATGTGGGATTATTTTCGGGGAGTGACAGTTAAGGTATAGTGGTTTCTTGCATGAACTTCCATTTTTAATTTTATGCAACTTCCATTTTTATTTTTAATGAACTTCCATTTTTATTCAATTTTCTTTTCTATTCAACTTCCTTTTTTGTTTAATTTCCAAATAGATAGCTAAGGTATAGTGGTTTCTTGAATGAACTTCTATTTTTAATTTTATACAACTTTCATTTTTATTTTTATTCAACTTCCACTTTTATTCAATTTTCTTTTCTACTCAACTCCCTTTTTTATTTAATTTCCAAATAGATCGTTAAGGTGTAATCGTTTCTTGAATAAACTTCCATTTTTAATTTTATGCAACTTCCATTTTTATTTTTATTCAACTTCCATTTTTATTCAATTTACTTTTCTATTCAACGCCCCTTTTTATTCAATTTCCAAACAGATCGTTAAGGTATAGTGGTTTCTTGAATGAACTTCCATTTTTAATTTTATGCAACTTCCATTTTTATTTTGATTCAACTTCAATTTTTGATTCAATTTCCTTTTTTATTCAACTTCCTTTTTTATTTAATTTGCAAATAGATCATTAAAGTATAGTCATTTCTTGAATGAACTTCCATTTTTATTTTTATTTAACTTCCATTTTTATTCAATTTCCTTTTCTATTCAACTTCATTTTTTATTTAATTTCCAAATAGATCGTTAAGGTATAGTGGTTTTTTGAATGAACTTCCACAGTTAAATTTATGCAACTTCCATTTTTATTTTTATTCAATTTCCTTTTTCATTTAATTTCAAAATAGAACGTTCAGGCATAGTGGTTTCTTGAATGAACTTCCATTGTTAATTTTATGCAACTACCATTTTTATTCAATTTCCTTTTCTGTTCAACTTCATTTTTTATTTAATTTCCAAGTAGATCGTTAAGGTATAATGGTTTTTTGAATGAACTTCCATTTTTAATTTTATGCAACTTCTATTTTTATTCCATTTATTTTTCTATTCAATTTCTTTTTTTTATTTATTTTCCAAATAGATCGTTAAGGTATAGTGGTTTCTTGAATGAACTTCCATTTTTAATTTTATGCAACTTCCATTTTTATTTTTATTCAACTTCCATTTTTATTCAATTTCCTTTTTTATTTAATTTCCAAATACATCGTTAAGGTATAGTGGTTTCTTAACTGAACTTCCATTTTTAATTTTATGCAACTTCTATTTTTATTTTTATTCAACTTCCATTTTTATTCAATTTGCTTTTCTATTTAACTTCCTTTTTTATTTAATTTCCAAATAGATCGTTTAGGTATAGTGGTTTCTTGAATGAACTTCCATCTTTAATTTAATGCAACTTCCATTTTTATTTTTATTCAACTTCAGTTTTTATTCAATTTCCTTTTCTGTTCAACTTCTTTTTTTATTTAATTTCAAAATATATCATTAAGGTACAGTGGTTTCTTGAATGAACATCCATTTTTCATTTTATACAACTTCCATTTTTATTTTTATTCAACTTCCATTGTTTTTCAATTTCCTTTTCTATTCAACGTCCATTTTTATTTAATTTCCAAATAGATCGTTAAGGTATAGTGGTTTCTTGAATGAACTTCCATTTTTAATTTTATGCAACTTCCATTTTTATTCAATTTTTTTCTATTCAACTTCTTTTTCTATTTAATTTCCAAAGAGATCGTTAAGGTATAGTGGTTTCTTGAATGAACTTCCATTTTCAATTTTGATGCAAGTTCCATTTTTATTTTTTTTCAACTTTCATTTTTATTCAATTTCCTTTTCTATTCTACTTTCTTTTTTTATTGAATTTCTAAATAGATCGTTAAGATATAGTGATTTCTTGAATGAACTTCCATTGTTAATTTTATGCAACTTCCATTTTTATTCAATTTCCTTTTCTATTCAACTTCTTTTTTTTATTTAATTTCCAAATAGATCGTTAAGGTATAATGGTTTCTTGAATGAACTTCCGTTGTTAATTTTATGCAACTTCTATTTTTATTTTTATTCAACTTTCTTTTTTATTTAATTTCCAAATAGATTGTTAAGGTATAGTGGTTTTTTGAATGAACTTCCATTGTTAATATTGTGCAACTTCCATTTTTATTTTTATTCAACTTTCGTTTTTATCCAATTTACTTTTCTATTCAACTTCCTTTTTTATTTAATTTCCAAATAGATCGTTAAGGTATAGTGGTTTTTTGAATGAACTTCCATTGTTAATTTTGTGCAACTTTCATTTTTATTCAATTTCCTTTTTTATTCAACTTCATTTTTTATTTAATTTCCAAATAGATCGATAAGGTATAGTGGTTTCTTGAATGAAATTCTGTCACGCCTCAATTTTAATTACTCGGAAACATTACCAAAGCCTTAAAATTAGGTCTATTTTTTTTTTAAACATCCATTACCCTTGAGTAATAGAAATACAATGATATTTGTTTTCTCTCTCTCAATGAACATTACAATGATAACAATACATACCAATCTCCTACTGTGAAGCTACAAATAAATAAATACAAATATCAATATACAGCAATTACTTCCTTCACACCCACAACAAAATTACACACAAACAGACTCATGGACTTTGTAACTCTTCCACTATGAATCCAAAGTTTCTTCCTGTAAAAAGATAAAACAACAACAGGGTGAGCACCAATGCCGAGTAGGAATCTTATAGTTCTAAATCAATAACTAACACACATATAGAAATGATCATGCATGCAGGGTGATACCATATAGTAGGGTGACATTTCATAATTTCAAAATATCATAAGTAAGGTACCTTTTTCTCAAAAACTATTTAAACACTTTTAAGAAATACCTTTAGCCATTAAAAATCATCCCTTAACTTTAGAAAACCATAGATCCTTGTGAAACAACCATATTTAAGAAACAACATCATTTAAAGGTTATTAACTAATTCCCAAAATATTTCTCATTTAATTTCCATTTTTAATGTTCCTCTTTTTCTTTCATTTTTCCTTTCTACTCATTATATTTATTTAAAACTCCATAACTTCAAGTTCAAGTTCCCTTTTTGATTCACTAACAATTCTCCTATACTCAATTCACACCATTGTTTACACTCTCAAATTTCATTTCAAGGTAACACAAGATCAACAAACCCCTTTCAATTCAGTCTCTTATTTATCAACAGAACAATACTCATAATTTACCTTTATTGTCACAACTAATTCATTAAGTTCCTCATCACCAATCCATCATCCAGTTACCACTTCAATTTCTATTCTCTCAATTAATTTCATATAAAATACCGGATCCAATCACAACTCATCTCCATGAGTCACACGCTTTATCGGTCACAAGCCAGAAGGAACGCGGAACCTCATGCTTTACCGGTCACAAGCCGGATGGAATGTGGAATCTCACGCTTTACCGGCCACCAGCCGGAAGGAATGCGGAACCTTAACATACCACACGCTTTACCGAGCTCTACTTCGGAAGGAAGACGGAACCTATCTCAAGCGTCACGCTTTGCCGACTCAAATACAGCGGGAAACGGACCCCAAGATAACATCACAATCCATCATTACAATTAGTGGACAATGCCAACACATCTTCCATTATTTCTGTAACACATTAATTCAATATACATCCACCATATATATTAAAATTACATTCACATAACAAGTACAAATATGTTCCACGACCTTCTTCATTATCTATTAAATCATTCATTGTTTTGTCATACAAAAATATAACAACACATCCATAGAGGCAAAGGCTCATCTTTAAAGTGTTCAAAATTCTTGGGTTCAAACTATTTCTTTACTTTTCCATATTATCATCAAGTCTTCAAATTCAATTTTTTTTAAACACATTGATTATCAATTACTACCCACGGTTATAAATTAAATCTCCAACATTTAATTTTCTTTGATACAACTCCTTCATATAACATTGTCATATTTCACAATCTCCCATTTATCATTATTCATACTCATCTTAACCCAACATAGACTTAATTTCATAAATTTAATGTTGATTGAAGTATCCTCATTTTCCAAAATAAAACTTCATAACTAGAGTTAAATATAAAGTTGGGCTTTTAGTTTTGAGGTATAAAATCACTTTCTAATTATACAATAAAATTCTTAAATCTTCACTTCATCATCTTAACACAAATTTCATATCATCTTTCAACTCTCCCCCGCGGGTACCAACACAACACCACCCAACACAACTCAACTCAACACAATTCAACATGATTCAAACACAATTCATCATAGTCCAGCACAATTCGGTTCAATATTATTCAACACAACTCAACATAATCAACCCAATTCAACATAATTCAAGGTGAACTCTTAAACCTTTATTTCATCATTTCACCCCAAGGCTCATGTCATCCATATCATTAATAAATCGTTTCCCCAATCTTTATTTCACATTATAGCATAATTTACAGTATTCATAACAATAGTTCAATCGCTAATTTTTAACAAAATTTTCAAACACATCCAAAATCCAATTAAACTTGTATATATATAATTCAACCTACCAATTTCATGATTCTGCTTTCAGTGTGGGCAAAATCATTGTTTATCATCATGAATCAACTTAGGGTTTTCAAGAAAATCAAGAATTTCAAGAAAAATTCAAACTTCTTAAACCACTACTCTTTATTCCAATCTTCCCATTGATTAAACACCTAAGGTTCATAATCCACCTTATTAACCCAACTATTGAACCCCCAACACTTCAAACCCTAAACCCCCAAAAATCATGATGTACACTATATGCTCAAAAATGTGGGTTTTATATGTATATACTCAAAATACCACAAATCTATCTATTTATGGATGTATTAAAGGAGAACTAGGACCCCTACCTTAAGAATCAAGCAAAGGAGCAAAGCTTTGATGAGATTCTTCCACAAATCCGAACTCCAATCGGTTGGAAAGTGAGATCTTCAAACCTTCTTCACGTTTTTGCAAGGGATCTTGGCCAAATCTTTGAGAAATTGGAAGTATTGGGACCGAAATCTCTAAGGTTTTTGGACCTAGGATGAGAGGAAGGAAGAAGGAAAAGGAAAATGCAAAGAATGAGCTTAAAATCATGTTTCAAAGCTGCTAAATTCATGCAGTTCGCTCGAGCATAGATTTCCTCGCTCGAGCGTACCTGCTTCCAGCACAGATATGAAAACTTCAAATGGGTATAACTCTCTCATCGGGACTCCGTTTTAGGTCGTTCTTGTGTCCAAATTGAAGCCCCAGAAACAAGATTTCCAATCGTTCCAGCCTCACATTCAAATTCAAAGTATGGAAGGAGAAAAGGGCAAAAGAGTGAAGGTTGGTCAAAAACTCAAACTCAAACTTGGGGCTTTTTATCTAATCTTTCCTATGTACCTTGTGAAGGCTTCATTCAAGGTTCCAAACATCACCCAAGGGTCCTCAATTATAATATTTAAAATTCACTTGCCAACCCATCAATATCAAGAGTCTGACAACCATACAAGTTTTAAGGTGACGGGCACCACTTTACATCAACCCAATGTACATTAAAATTCAAGTCATTATAATCTTCCCACCTTAAGAAATTTCGTCCCCGAAATTGCATCCGTTCTAACAAATATAGCAACAATCTTATACTCACCAATTCTTAACAACCCTTAGTCCAAAAAATGAAGCATCAGAGTACCCATATATATCCACCAAACCTTAACAGATTTCAATCACACCTTACTCCAATTCTAAACCCAAAAAATACAAAGTGTTATAACTTTCATTTTTAATTTTATGCAACTTCCATTTTTATTTTTTTTCAACTTCCATTTTTATTCAATTTCTTTTTCTATTCAACTTTTTTTTTTTGTATAATTTTCAAATAGATCGTTAAGGTATAGTGGTTTCTTGAATGAACGCCCATTTTTAATTTTATGCAACTTCCATTTTTATTCAATTTCTTTTCTACTCAACTTCTTTTTTTATTTAATTTCCAAATAGATCGTTCAGGTATAGTGGTTTCTTGAATAAACTTCCATTTTTAATTTTATGCAACTTCCATTTTTATTTTTATTTAATTTTATTTTCTATTTAACTTCCTTTTTTATTTAATCTCCAAATAGAACGTTAAGGTATCGTGGTTTCTTGAATGAACTTCTTTTTTTTTTCTTGGGTAAGTAAGTCATAAATAAAAACAAAAAGGTAACACAACATACAAGGGGCATGCCCCAGGCCCTACCCACAACTATATATCAGAAAAAATAAAAATAAAAATGAGCAACAACAGACGTAACCAAAGACACTAAAGGCCATACACAAATACCAAACAACTAACAAACTAAACATCTCACAAACAATTTTACAATAACCCAACGGCAGCAACCAGCACCCTAAAGAGACGTATTCTTGGAACCCAGCATAAGAACCGAGAACACTATCACAGCATAAATGGTCACCCCGGAGAACAAAATATCCCTTGCACATCCCGCAAGGGTAGGCACCCAAATACACTAATAAACACAATGTATAGACAATTAAATATATAGGAAATAAAACACATTTCTTGACACCATCGGCGCTCCCAGCAGCCAACAACTTGCTTCCATGCTTTCGAATTTTAGTGATTCGCCATTTTACAGCTGCATAATGTATTAAACCGTGCTTCCATTGATTAAGGGAGCCTCGCACAATCCTACATCCACAAACTGTGTCCCTATTGTTCCAATAAGAACTGCTACCAGCAAAGAGAGAGTTCTTCCTTACACAAAACTGCCACTCTTTCTAGCAGCCTTTGAGTATTGCATCACCCTCCCTTAAGCTAAAGTAGCCTGACCAAAATAAGTGGAAATAGAAAAACCACACATTAATAAAATATAAACACACATTTTCTGGGCTCACATCACTCAACACACAATTTAGATTCTCACTCCACTCAAAAAACTTCAGATCCATGTACCTGCAAAACAAAGGAAGATAAGTAGACATGAATATATAACAAACACTCAATATGGCCAGTAGAAATGGGGTATGGATATTTGTGTATCTCCCATAACACTCAACCCACTGAGATTGGTTATTATCACTCACAGCTAGCAGTTTCATCTTATCCATGTACCTACAAAATGAGCAAACCATTAAGAAAACACTCAATTTGTGCTACCATCACTCAACCCACAATTTACTGAACTCTCAACTCTCATTCCATTTGTTGTTGCTTTCAGCACAGTGTTAGGCAGCCTCCAGAAAGTCAAAAACCAACTGTCACTAGGATGCAATTTGAGGTTAGTAATAGACATTACTCGAAATCTAATCATATCCACAATGCCTTTAATCACAATCTCTTCAGGAATCTTTTCTTTTCTAAATATGCAATTGTTCCTAACAATCCAAAGCTGATACACAGTACAAGTAAATGCAAGTCTTGTGACCACAGCACTAAGAGATTTACCTTTGACCGTTTTAGAAACCAACTGAACAATGTCAGGCCAAAGGAGATGGGGCCAATTCACATTAAGTTTCCCTTTAATACTCTCCCAAACTCAACTAGAGAAGGGACAATCAAAGAATAAATGGTTATGATCCTCATAAGGGTCATTACACAAAACACACATAGAGGTTTGAGATATACAAAACAGCTTAAGCCTGTCCTCTGTGTTTAATCTCCCCAAAATAGCCATCCAAGTAACCATACTTGCCTTAGGGATATTATGAGGACCCCACAGCAACTTCTCCCAAGAAACTTTAGTAAAAGATTTCCTAAACCAATTCCAAGTTGAATTTATAGAAAACTTACCATCAGAAGACGGCACCCAAATAACAGTATCATTACCAGAGTTGGGAGTAAACGTAAGCGGGGTATGCTCAATCAACTCCTGTAAGAAGCTCCTCCTTCTCCTGGGCCAACTCCAAGAACGATTATTAACAATCCTACTCACCTTAGCATCCATCCCAAAGGCAGTATCATAGACAACTCTAGCACCAAACCTCACCCACAAAGATCCAAGAGGATGCCAATTGTCAAATCACCAGAAAACATCACCCCCATTCCCAATTTTGTGCAAAATGAAAGGGTAAATGACAGGACGAAGGGATAGAATTTTCCTCCAGACCCAAGAAGGGTCCCTAGGCATTTTAACCCTCCATAGACTTTGACCTTTAAGTAAATAGGATTTCACCCACTGGCACCACATAGACTGCTCTCCTTCAGAGAAAAGAAACCAGATATGCTTGGCCACTGCAGCTTTGTTCCACACCTCTATAGATTTAAAACCAAGACCCCCTTCAGATTTGGGGGAGCAGACATGCTCCCAAGACACTTTAGCCCCATATTTCCTAATCTCACAACCAGACCAAAAGAAAGATCTAAAGAGACTCTCAATAGATTTGACAACCTTCTTTGGGAGGATAAACAATGAGGACCAATACAGTTGCATCGAGAAGAGAATGGATTGAATCAGTTGAGCTCTACCAGCATATGTAAGACATTTGTTAGTCCAACTCTTGATTCTATTTGTAATTCTCTCAACAAGTTTGTCGCAATCACTAGATTTCAACTTAGTTGAGATTAAAGGAAGACCTAGATATCTCACCGGTAATACATCCTCATTAAACTTGATGACATTAAGAAGCTCGACACGCAAATTCTTCTCACACCCCGAGAAAAAAATATGACTCTTATGGGGACTAGGAGACAACCCAGATAGGCTTTGGAATTCATCTAACCCTTCCTTAATTACCGAAACAGTAAACACATCCCCTTTGCAGAAAATCATAAGGTCATCTGCAAAACATAGATTCACAATTTTAGTTTTATCACACCTCCAATGGAACTTAAAATCAAGATGGGTAGATTTTTTAGCTAGAATTTTGGAAAGAATCTCCATCACCATAACAAAAAGATAAGGGGACATGGGGTCACCTTGTCTCAGACCTTGACCCCCTTTAAAGTACCCATGAAGGCTCCCATTGATACATATGGAGAAAGAAGGACTTGTAATACAAGCCTTAACCCAACAAATGATATTTGGAGGGAAACCCATACCTCTAAGGACATGAAGAACAAAATCCCACGTAACATTATCATAAGCTTTCATTATGTCAACTTTCATTGCACATCTTGGGGTAGGAGAATTTTTGTGATAGCCTCTCATAAGCTCTTGGGACAAGAAAATATTGTCCGAGATTCTCCTACCATGGACAAAAGCTGATTGCATAGGGTCAATGAGGTCAGGTAAGACAACTTTAATCCTATCAGCTATGATCTTAGAGATGCATTTGTACAAAGTGTTGCAGCAAGAGATAGGCCTGAAGTCACCAACTTTCTGAGCATTAGGAGTTTTGGGAATAAGGGCTATTGTTGTGCTGTTGAGAGCTTAGAGAAGCTCACCAGACCGAAAGAATGATTTGACAGCTACCACAACCTCCTTTCCCACAACCTCCCAAGACTTCTTGAAAAAACCAGCAGAATAGCCATTAAGGCCAAGGGCTTTGCTAGGTTTAAGAGAATTGAAAGCATCAATAAACTCCTTATCAGAGACCTCCCTAGCAAGATCATTGAACTAATCCACAGACACCCTCTTCTTGACAAGTTGGGTAATTCTATCATAGCCATCATAATTATCGGAGAACGGTTTCCCAAAAAGATCAGTGAAGGAATTCACAAATGTGGCACAAATCTCTTCACTTTTTTGTCACCGTAACACCATCATTCAACACAACACTCTGGATCCTACCCTTGTTAATATTTCCCTTAATAGTTTTAAAGAAGAATTTGGAATTCCTATCCCCATAACCCAACCACTGGACTCTAGACTTTTGATGTGCAAGTCTTTCCTGCACACTACTGAGATCCACATATTTTGCATAGGCCACCCTCTCGTGGGTTTGAAGATCACCATTGAGAGGGTCTTTGTCAAGTTTGATTTGACCACTAACAAGTTGGTCCTTAGCATGGGACACTCTAGTAGATATATCACTAAACTCTTTTTTATTTAGATTTTTCAAGATAGGCTTGAGGGTTCTCAGCTTTTGGCAAACCCTAAACATAGGGGAACCCTTGATGTATTTCCTCCACATCTCATCAACTTTCTGAACAAAATTGGGATGATCAGCCCAGAAATCAAAGAATTTAAATGGTTTCCTAAAGTTAGATACTTTAGGATCCAAAGTGATTACAACCGGAGAATGGTCAGAGACCCCTGAAGGCAAGAAGAGGGCAGAAGAGTTAGGGTAACTCGTAAGCCACTTCTTATGCACAAGAGCTCTATCAATCTTGGATGCGATATATGCTCCCTCACTTCTTTTGTTGGACCAAGTAAATTGGCACCCAGTATAAGACAAATCCTCAAGGTCAGCATCAAGAATCATATTATTAAACAACTCCTTAGAACTATTCCAACTGGCATTACCACCCAATTTTTCATAAGAGAATCTAACAGCATTGAAGTCACCAAGGCATATTAAAGGAGAACTCACATGATTCTTAACTAAAGAGCAAATTTCAGCAAAATAGGGCAATCTCAGCACATGTTCATTTTCAGGGTATACAAAAATAGCAAAGAAACTAGTATCCCCTTCCAAAATAGTAACCCTACAAAAAACAAATTGAGCTGCCATCCCGATGCTAACAATATTACAAAAATTAGGATCCCAACATATCCAAATTCTAGCAGCTCTATCTGGTTGTGAATTAGACAAAAGATTCTAGATTTTCAAGCTTTTTTCAAAAAATTTAGCTTCATTTCCAGATTTCACTTTTGTCTCTAAAAGACTCATGATTTTGATATTCTCTTTGTGCATAAGATCAAAGACTTTTTTATGCTTAGATTGGTCATTCAACCCTCTAACATTCCAAGACGCAACTTTTATAGACATGAAATATAACAAAAAAACACAACCATAACCCAAAATAGACTATTTACCTTTCTTCTTCTTCCGGCTTCCAGATTTGCCAGAAGATTTGCTCTTTGAGGAATTCCCAGAAGAATGTATGTTCTCCACCCTCTCCCCTTTGTTACTTGGAGTAGACTGCTTGCTCTCTACTGTTGATTCCACTTCCTTGAGTATGATTTCTGTAGCCGAATGGATCAGTTTAGCAATATCCATGATATCAGAATGGAAGGCCTCAACTTGTTTCGTTGCCTTGGTTGTAATTTCATCCTCCAGCGATGCTACTTCTTTGGTAACAATATCTGCAGTTGAGTCTGTAGTTGTGACCACATCCTCCAAGTAGGTATTAACACAATCCTCCTTGCCCGAATCCACCCTGCCAACATTTGATGAACTCGATACCTCAATTGGTGCCATAGACTCCATCTCCTGGGAAGGCTCACCTACCTTTTGTTTCCCTTTATTCTTTACAGTGGTCCAGCCAACTTCTTCTCCACTTAAGTTCTCCGTCTCTTTTTGCAACTCAATCAATTTGGACACTTGGGTAGAGAGACATTGTTTGGTTTCGTGGCCAAAAACATTACAATGGGCACATCTAGATGGAACCCCCTGATATTCAACTCGGATTTCAATAGAATCACCCTCGTTTGTAATGGAAAAACTATATGGAAATAGAGAATCTGCTTGTATATTCACATATACACGGGCAATGGAAATATGATTTCCAGAAGCTGTAAGTTGGTCCATAAACAAAGGAGTGCCAACAGCGCAATTTATCCTGCTTAGACCATCCCCATTCCAAAATTCCAACGGAATGTTGTAGAACTTAGCCCACACAGGAATTGTCTTTTTATCCTCCTTAGACAACCTCATCATACGATGCCATTGTTTTAGGATCAACAAAAAAAACCCCCAACATACCAGGGGCCACCATCAAGGATATTCCTACAACAATCTTTATTTTCAAACATAAAAAAAAGCAAATCCATCATCATTCATTTTAACTTCTAATAGACCTTTGTTTCTCCATATATTGAAAGCACTGTTACTAACTAAGGTGTAAGGTAATCACTTATCAATAAAATAACCAACCAAACATGCCTCCCATTTGGCAAGAGGAGATGAAGGTGGCATTTCCACCACAATCTTATCCTGGGACATTTTAGGAGGAAAGTACTGTAGTTTTACCTCAGATCTAACAGATGCCGATGCTACATTTGCCCAAGATCTAGATTCCTGTCTGTATGTACCTCTGCCTCTACGGACCCCTCTGCCATGACCTTGAAAGCCACCATGAAATTTTTTCCCAAAAGGTCCTGACTCCGTCTCCTTCTGTGGCATAACATCCCATTCTTGATTGCTAACTAGATCAACCTGCTCGTAATTAGCATTACGATCTAGAACTGCTCGATTCCCTTCATCATTGATCCCTACACCCTTTGATTCAGCCACGATAGTTGTCTGTATCTTATCTCGAACCCTAACCGATTGATTTTCCCCCAAATCTGGAAACACCATTGCGATTTCAGATCGCGTTTCCTCATCAGCGATTTCAGACCATTTAGGGTTCAGAGACAGCGGTGTCATCAAGGCTTCACGGACCTCAGAGTCCAACACAGCCTTTGCCTTAAACATCTCAAGTCGATCGGAGAGCTCCTTGATGGATTCGGCAGTCATACCCTTCATCTTGATCTCACTCTGCTGCGCGATATTAACTAGGGTTTCCAACTCTTGCGTAGTAATACTCAAATTCTTCGGGCCATTTTCCGCATAAAGTTCATCAGCACATTTACCCACATCGTTAAAACTTGATGATCCAATATTCACATCTGACCCTACACCAGCAACATTAAGTTCAGAGTTAGAAGGAATAATTGCCATCCTAGATCTTGTTTGCAGTTCAATGAAGAATTGAATGCAGAAACCCTAGAAACGAAAAGTTTCTAGAGAGAAAGAGGAGCTTCTCACTCTAACCCATCGATTTGTGTTTTGGTACTTTACTAGTGATCTTGAATTAACTTCCATTTTTAATTTTATGCAACTTCCATTTTTATTTTTATTCAACTTCCATTTTTATTCAATTTATTTTTCTATTCAACTTCTTTTTCTATATAATTTCCAAATAGATCGTTAAGGTATAGTGGTTTCTTGAATGAACTTCCATTTTTAATTTTATGCAACTTTCGTTTTTATTTTTATTCAACTTCCTTTTCTATTCAACTTCCTTTTTTTATTTAATTTCCAAATAGATCGTTAAGGTATAGTGGTTTCTTGAATGAACATCCATTGTTAATTTTATGCAACTTCCATTTTTATTTATATTCAACTTCAATTTTTATTTAATTTCCTTTTCTATGCAACTTTCTTTTTTATTTAATTTCAAAATAGATCGTTAAGGTATATGGTTTCTTGAATAAATTTCCATTTTTATTTTTATTCAACTTCCATTTTTATTCAATTTCCTTTTCTATTCAACTTCGTTTTTTATTTAATTTCCAAATAGATCATTAAGGTATAGTGGTTTCTTGAATGAACTTCCATTGTTAATTTTATGCAACTTCCATTTTTATTTTTATTCAACTTCCATTTTTATCCAATTTCCTTTTCTATTCAACTTCATTTTTTATTTAATTTCCAAATAGATCTTTAAGGTATAGTTGTTTCTTGAATGAACTTCCACTGTTAATTTTATGCAACTTCCATTTTTATTTTTATTCAACTTCCTTTTTTATTCAATTTCCAAATAAATCGTTAAGATATAGTGGTTTCCTGAATGAAGTTCTATTTTTAATTTTATGCAACTTCTATTTTTATTTTTATTCAACTTCAATTTTTATTCAATTTCCTTTTCTATTCAACTTCCTTTTTTATTTAATTTACAGATAGATCATTATGGTATAGTGGTTTTTTGATTGAACTTCTATTTTTAATTTTATGAATCTTCCATTTTTATTTTTATTCAACTTCGATTTTTATTCAATTTCCTTTTCTATTCGACATCATTTTTTATTTAATTTCCAAATAAATCGTTAAGGTATAGTAGTTTATTGAATGAACTTGTATTTTTAATTTTTGCAACTTCCATTTTTATTTTTATTCAACTTCCATTTTTATTCAATTTCCTTTTCTATTTAACTTCCTTTTTTGTTTAATCAGCAAATACATCGTTAAGGTATATGGTTTCTTGAATGAACTTCCATTGTTAAATTTATGCAACTGCCATTTTCATTTTTATTCAACTTCCACTTTTATCCAACTTCTTTTTCTATTCAACTTCTTTTTTTATTTATTTTCCAAATAGATCGTCAAAGTATAGTGGTTTCTTAAATGAACTTTCATTATTAATTTTATGTAACTTCAATTTTTATTTTTATTAAACATCCATTTTTATTCAATTTATTTTTCTATTCAACTTCCTTTTTTTATTTAATTTCCAAATAGATCGTTAAGGTATAGCGGTTTCTTGAATGAATTTCTATTTTTAATTTTATGCAACTTCTATTTTTATTCTTATTCAACTTCAATTTTTATTAAATTTCCTTTTCTATTCAATTACATTTTTTATTTAATTTCTAAATAGATGGTTAAGGTATAGTGATTTCTTGAATGAACTTCCATTTTCAGTTTTGATGCAACTTCCATTTTTATTTTTATTCAACTTTCATTTTTATTCAATTTTCTTTTCTGTTCAACTTCTTTTTTTTATTTAGTTTCACAATTGATCGCTAAGGTATAGTTGTTTCCTTAATGAACTTCCATTGTTAATTTTATGCAACTTCCATTTTTATTCAATTTCATTTTTATTCAACTTCATTTTTTATTTAATTTCCAAATAGATCGTTAAGGTATAATGATTTCTTGAATGAACTTCCAATGTTAATTTTATGCAACTTCCATTTTTATTTTTATTCAACTTCCATTTTTATTCATTTTTCTTTTCTATTCAACTCCTTTTTTATTTAAATTCAAAATAGATTGTCAAAGTATAGTGGTTTCGTGAATGAACTTCCATTTTTAATTTTATGCAACTTGCTCTTTTATTTTCATTCAACTTAAATTTTATTCAATTTATTTTTCTTTTCAATGTTCTTTTTTATTTAATTTACTAATAGATCGTTAAGGTATAGTGGTTTCTTGAATGAACTTCCATTTTCATTTTATGCAACTTCCGTTTTTATTTTTATTCAACTTCTATTTTTAGCCAATTTCTTTTTCTATTCAACTTCATTTTTTATTTAATTTCAAAATAGATCGTTAAGGTATAGTGGTTTCTTCAATGAACTTCCATATTTAATTTTATGCGACTTCCATTTTTATTTTTATTCACCTTCCATTTTTATTCAATTTCCTTTTCTTTTCAATTTCTTTTTTTATTTAATTTCCAAATAGATTCTTAAGGTATAGTGGTTTCTTGAATGAACTTCCTTTGTTAATTTTATGTAACTTCCATTTTTATTTTTATTCAACTTCCATTTTTATCCAATTTACTTTTCTATTCAACTTCTTTTTTTATTTAATTTCCAAATAGGTCGTTAAGGTATACTGGTTTTTTGAACGAACTTCCATTGTTCATTTTATGGAACTTCCATTTTTATTCAATTTCCCTTGTTATTCAACTTCATTTTTTATTTAATTTCCAAATAGATCGTTAAGGTATAGTGGTTTCTTGAATGAACTTCCATTTTTAATTTTTTGCAACTTCCATTTTTATTTTTATTCAACTTCTATTTTTATCCAATTTACTTTTCTATTCAACTTCCTTTTTTTTTTTTAATTTCCAAATAGGTCGTTAAGGTATACTGGTTTTTTGAATGAACTTCCATTGTTAATTTTGTGGAATTTTCATTTTTATTCAATTTCTTTGGTTATTCAACTTCATTTTTTATTTAATTTCCAAATAGATCGTTAAGGTATAGTGGTTTCTTGAATGAACTTCCATTTTTAATTTTACGCAACTTCCGTTTTTATTTTTATTCAACTTCCATTTTTATTCAATTTCTTTGTCCACTCAACTTCTTTTTTTATATAACTTCCGAATTGATCGTTAAGGTATCGTGTTTTCTTGAATGAACTCCCATTGTTAATTTTATGTAACTTTCATTTTTATTTTTATTCAACGTCCATTTTTATTCAATTTCCTTTTCTACTCAACTTCCTTTTATATTTCATTCCCAATAGATCGTTAAAGTATAGTGGTTTCTTGAATGAACTTCCATTTTTAATTTTATGCAACTTTCATTTTTATTCTTATTCAACTTCCATTTTTATTCAATTTCCTTTTCTACTCAACTTCCTTTTTTTATTTAATTTCCAAACATATCGTTAAGGTATAGTGGTTCCTTAAATAAACTTCCATTTTTAATTTTATGCAACTTCCATTTTTATTTTTATTTTCAACTTCCATTTTTATTCAATTTCCTTTTCTATTCAACTTCTTTTTTCATTTAATTTCCAAATAGATCGTTAAGGTATAGTTGTTTCTTCAAATGAACTTTCATTTTTAATTTTATGCAACTTCCATTTTTATTTTATTCAATTTCCTTTTCTATTCGACTTCATTTTTTATTTAATTTCCAAGTAGATCGTTAAGATATAGTGGTTTCTTGAATAAACTTCCATTTTAATTTTAAGCAACTTCTTTTTTTATTTTTATTCAACTTCCATTTTTATTCAATTTACTTTTCTGTTTAACTTTCTTTTTTATTTTGTTTTCCCAAATAGATTGTTAAGGTATAGTGGTTTCTTGAATGAACTTCCATTTTTAATTTTATGGAACTTTCATTTTTATTTTTATTCAACTTACAATTTTACTCAATTTCCTTTTTTATTCAACTTCTTTTTTTATTTAATTTCAAAATAGATCGTTAAAGTAT